TGTTGCAAAGAGAAATTAACAAACTCATAAAATTTGTTTTCTAATTGAATTTCGCCATTCGTAAGATATTTCCTAAGTTTGATAAAACCAAAATGATTACAATATTTTGTTCTCTTTTCGGACTTTCTGTTTTGGATTTTATAATTTTCGTAAAATTTCTTTCAAATACAAGCTCGATCGAATCATAAGAGTATTTTTTTTTCGTTTCGTTCTTCAACTATGTAACTCAAACCAAAATACGGGAAGCAAAAAACATTTAAACAAACTATTCTAAAAGTTGTGTGTTTGTTGGTTGAAGTTTATTAAATTTACATTAGCACAGATGCGCTCGTGATGAGGACAGAACTTTGTTTGAATAAATATCCGCTAGTGAATTTGATTCGAATCATAAAATAATTCTTTTGAGGGTAACGTTAATACGTGATATTTACATAAAATTTCCCCTTTATCGATTATGCATAAACGCCACCATAATAGCATCGCAGCAAAAAAAAATTATTGTAGTTTCACGTGCTGGAAGTGTAAGTAATAATAAAGTAGACCGACATAGGTCAGGTCGCGGCTTCTGGTAAAAGCAAGGCAATTTAAATGTAATACGTTTTGACTCATGTTTGTTGGTTCGGAAGCACGTTTACTAGCAATTTTGGCCAGACGCGGCCATTATTTCATAATTTACTTGAGCCGTGCCGTTTTATGGCACAATTAATACAGCATTTGGTTACAATACTCGTCAAAGCGAATTGAATGGGACAGGTCCATGAATAGTGGTGACCCGTAGATGTACAGCGAATTCTGTTTACTGTAAAAAGAGCAATATGCTGGTATGCACGAACTAACAAGCATAGTTTACAGCCGATGAAGATCAAAGGCTGTAGCCAGCATGGCTCTTGAAACGTCGTGTTTGCGGAGATATTAGGGCCGAACAAACTTACCAGCTGTTCAAGATTACTACTCTTACACTTATTACACGTAAAAGTCGGGATGAAGACTCGAAAGCCGAGGAGGGATTAATGGAGAGGCAATTACATCGATCGAAGAGTTTCAAAATGCAACGAAATTGCGTTTTTCGGCAGGAAAAATTAGCAAAGTTGGGCAGCGATTTTGTTGAATGTGAAAATATATGAGTCGAAGCGAAGTTGAAAAAGTTTGTCTCTCGAGGAACGACGAATTTTTCTTATTTCCTCGCGGACTCGTTACATCATTTTTGGTAGGGATGTCGGTAACAAAAAGGGGCTTTCGTATTTGTTCGAAGGGTGGTTAAAAATTTATGGTGGTTTTAAGAAAAGCACAACGAGAGGCAACGTTCGGGCCACGTAAAAAATTAAAAGAAAGAAGTTATCGGTTTTTGCTTTATGAAAGAAAGGGACGGTCGGGGGTTATTTGAACTTCTCGTTACGGGAATCACCGCTCTATTGTTTTTATTAAAACGAGCGTACCCAGGGAAAATATTTGCTTTTAGGGTTGTAGATCTACATTTTTCTGGTGAAATCTGGCGTTTACACAGAAGCTTCGGGCCGTGCTCGGAAACAATGCGTGAGAGCGAAATTTCGGACGAACATTAAAAATCGAACGTGTATTTATAATAGATTTTGGTTTGAAAGAGGGTCTTTTATTTTCGTGATCTGGGCTTATGTTGTATCAACTTGACTAAACAAGTCGCGCACTCAAGAGATTTTCCTGTCCTCTGTATCGACTGGGAACTTCTCCATTATTTATACGTGCAATATTCAAAGGTATAAACTTCATAATCCTGTTTCGCAGTATGCTCCAAACTCTATTCGATCGTAAAATTTCCCCAGAAAATAAATTCTCAATTTAGAAAAGGTCCTGTTTACGCTCCTCCCCGATCCCATTATTCAAATAAGAGTATTTTTCGCGATAGACTTTATGCGAAATCTCAAACGAATCCGTCGAATTTCCCCTAAGACAGAACGTAATTGCTGACGTCACGACATTTCTATACGCTCACAATCACGACTCCAATTAAATTACGACGGTATCTAGATATTTACAAATTCAGCTGAAACTGATGGATTGAAATTCAATTGAGTTTGTTTAAAAAAAAATCCCTTCGTGCGAACAGCGATTACGATATATGTCCGGCCAGAGGGGGATGTGTGATGTTCGGGATAAGTTTTTTCTTTTTTTTTCCGAGCGTTTTTTGAACTTTTGTCGCGAGGAAAAATTCCACTTTGCTATCTCTATAAGGCCGAAATACATTTAGGAGATAATCTCACTTCTACGTGTCTCATCGATTACGTTCCGATGACGAAAAATAAGTTAAGAGACAAAACCGCTAGAGAGTAAAATATAAGTTATGGAATACCCCCAGGACTTGTAACCTTATTTCAGAAACGAATAGCTTTCTTTGCTCGAGTCAAGTGATCTAAACTAATATTTACTTAGTGGGTTTGCGATCAGATATTATTTAATAGTGCCAACCGTAATTATTTCAGTCAACAGTTTAATAAAACCAATTTAGATGGCGCGGCGAGCTCGCTCTCCCTAGTCGCTCTCCACCGGTTCCACTGCATACCTATAGCGAGGACGCCCCGGGCACGAAACCTAATAAAGGCCACTCCAGAAGCTCATTTCTTACGTTGGTAGGATGGTGAAAGACGCAAATCAAAGAAAATCATGACATTAACATGCAAATTAAAAGTTGGTTTCATTTGCTTTGTGCGTGGAGCAACATTTTCGACGAACAGCTGCCAATCTGTCCATAAACGTGTCTAGGTCTAGCTGAAGACTGTCACCGTATTTGGCTTTTGCTGTCTGGGTGCATTTTTTTTTTTTAACATGTAATCCCGGAAACTATCAAATTACAGCCAGTTTGTTTCAGTTATTAACAAAATTTTGATACGACGCTAAACATTTATTTAAGGATTATAGACTATAGAGCATTAATAAAAGTTGGTTTACTTTCGCTTTCCGAAGATTTGATGCTTTCATCACAAAAAAGGTAAATAAATTTTTGTCGAAAAATACTCCCGAGACGCATGCGGTGGCAGTTACCGGCAGCCGGTTCAATATTTACTTCTACATTGTTTTTGATTTTGTAAAGCTAGGAAGTTTTATGCCCGTATCAGGTGGATGGCTGTGTCGGGTGGAGAATTTCTCGACTTGAGCTTTAGATACGAGTTTTTAAAAATAATGATAAACCCATTTTGCGACAAGCGCCCTCCCTTAGTCACCCCGGTTCGAATTTATGGTTGGTTTCTCGAACATAATGGCTGTCTTTTTTAATCTGTTTCCGCCACACAATGAAATGTGTCAGTGATATCAATAGAATCGCTCGGTGATAACATTCTCCCTCTATCTAACCGGATAAAAGCTTCACCGAGAACAGATTAAATTATTCAGGCTTTTCCTAAATCAGAAGAAATCCATCCGGGTTAACGAAAGCTGCCACAGTTTTTAATTTGTCTGGATTAGTTGATCTAAGAGCGGTTTCACTTCATCCGGATTTTTACTGGATTTCGTACTCCGGAGACACCAGTTTTCAGTTTTCTAGTAATCGATAGTTGAGGTCGCATTTTTCCCGTCATTAATACAGGTGAAACTTCAGTAATTGACAAGTTTACAATATGGAGGAGTTTCCGTTGTGTTCTCTCCGGTTTAATTACTCTTTGATCCGACGAGACTATGCCTATTCATGAATATTAATCGCCTGTATTGTTTTCGGTGTCTACGGGAGTATCGCACTCGCAAAAACTCACTTTTACTCTAGGATTAATGGAAATAAATATAACACGAGATTTTCCTTTTCGACTCGATTGCTCATGAATCGCCGACTAATTAAAGCTGTTATCGTGAAGCGTCCCGGTACAAGGAAATTGAGGCTTTCAATTTATAATACAATTAACGATAATGAGGCATTGTTTTGCAATAATATCAGTGGAAGCGGAATTAAATCGCGTCGGAGCCGTTTTGCAGCATCAGCTATTTCGAAGAACTCGTGGGAAACGTCACAATATTTCTAAACGTGTTTATATGTTGATTTTCGATAATTACTTTTGCGTGTGGATTCACCGCAAGTTTGGTTCTGTATCGTTTCCAGCTTTGTAAACATTGTAGACAAGAGGCATTGCGGAACGAGACACGAGGGGTTTTTTGAAATGGAAAAAAGTCAAAGAGAGTTTCTGCTGCTGAAATGTTTGACTTTTGCTTTCATCAGCGGACGTTGACAAAGGTGAAGTTGCAAAGTGTTTTTTCGATACATACAATTTGATGTATATTGCTTTTTTAAATTTTTATGTTGTTTTATATATTTTATAGATCCTACAGAATCTTTTAGAGTTTTTTTCCGACGAGAAGAAAAACAACGTGCGATTAAAGACCTACATCAAACGTAGATAAGTATACTAAAACTACGAACGATGCGTCAGACTGAAATTTTCCTAACCTATGCGCATATTTTATACAATAACAATAATATGTATTATATGTTTGTATTAATCCCGAAACGACATTGTTGCGTCGCGTTACATCTGCATCACGTGATATGTTATAAGAGGTTGTCTATTTCGGTGTCCCTGTGTCTTTATCCCCACGAATCTAAGTGTCATCACCTCGTATTCTCCTAAATCCCTACCTCCGCAATATTCAATTTCCCTTTTTGTATGGAGAATGCAGATATTGTGTTACTCATGATTGAAACATTACCATAACTCCCTCGAGGATCCACTCTCAGGGAATTACGCAATGTCGGTATGAATTTACATCAAATTTCCCAAACAGACTTATTGGAATGTTGAAGAGGCACGAATTATACGAAATAAGAATTCTCTCCTGTTCTCCACACTCTTTATTAGTTTTCAATGAAAGAGCTCCAAGGAAACCGCAATTCGAAAACGAAAGCAATCTCGCCTTTTTAATATCAAATTGAGACGTAGGTATACATTTAAAAGAGACCTGTTTCTGCCTTCGAAAAAAATTTAATATTGAACACGTCGCCGCGACACGGTGTGTGCATAAATCGACGAGGGAACGCATCTTACCGGTAGAGCATCCTCTCCTGCCTATCTGCCTCCACATAAATTCTGTAGTACATGAATATCATGACCATTCCGGGCACCCAGAAGCTGACGCTCGACGAAATTACCGAATAGGCCCTGTTGACCGTAAAAGTGCACACGTAAGGGTGCCTTCTCCTGAACTGTAGATGTTCCTCGGTGGTGTACCACTCCATGAAGATGGGCAAAAAGGACACGAGCGCCGGACTGCACCATACGACCGCTAGCATGACCGCGAGTCTCGCGTTGGTCATGATCAAGGGATAGTCCAAGGGCTGCACGATCGCGTAGTACCTGTCCACACTGATACAGCACAGGTGCAGGATCGACGCGGTCGAAAAATAAACGTCCAGCGAATTCCACACGTCACACATGAAATAGCCGAATATCCATCGACCGCCGGTAATCTCGACACTGAAATTAAAACACATGGCCCATATAGCGACCAGCATGTCGGCCAGAGCTAAGCTCACGACGAAATAGTTGGTGATGACCCTCAGCTTGCGGTGTCGCATCACTGAAACTATCACTAGCAAGTTGCCGAAGAGGGCGGCGATTATTATGAGGACCATCACCGTGGTCTTTAACGTCAAGAGGAAGCAGAGGAGCCAAGAGTTGGCGGGCCATGTCTGGCCGAATCCGTAGACGTAGTTGTTGGAGATGTGGATCGACGTTTCGTTCGGGCCGTCGCTGGAGTTCTTCGGGGACGACTGGGTCACCAGGTCCGTGATGACGAGGATCTTGTTCATGGTGGGTCTAAGTGACGAAGTACATCTGAAATTTCAAATAAAGCTACATACACTCTCCTCGACCCGTTTCATCGGGCAATTAAACTTCGATACGATCGCTTAATAAAACTTTTATACCGCCACTAAAATATCCGTCCAAATTTAGACACAACGTTTATAAATATGTTAGTTCTGTTTCATTGATTTATTGCGATCGCAGCTGCAGTACTGAATAATGAACTTTTCCCGCGCCATTTCAATGGAAATTCGTGAAACGGTTTTGGACTTACGGTGGAAATCCGACTCGGCACGTGGAAAAGGTTCCTTGAATGTGCTGAAAAGTCGTCGCGTGACGATCTCCGGTGCACCGGAGGATGGTAGTTTTTGATCGGCAACGCGCGTCAAACTGTACTGTTTAGGGGTAACTCTGAGCTTTTCGCGGCTTTGCGGCGAAGCAAGCGACCTCTTATGGAAGCGCGAGTTTTCCACCACCCACCTGAACATCGTTCGGTTATTACCTGTTACATTATTTGGGGTTTTTTTGTGTGGGAAATCTGGCATTAACGCGGTATGGAGAGAGGGTGGTTGGCGATAGCACTGGCAGGTGTTGGAGGAGAAGGGCAAACATCATATTTCACATTTACGATTTTCGAGGGAATGAAATCGAAAGTGACGAATACAAGTTTCGGATGTGTGTTATTTACGCGTTTGTTTGAACGGGTGGATTTCTGTGTTTGTAAAGCGTAGATGCGTTATTAAAAATCGGTAATCACCATACGTGAATGATTGCGTGAGTAATGAAAGTACTGCTAATGGGTTTTTGATGGCATACGCGACATTGTTATAATGTAAGTCACTAAAATATATTACTAAGTTGGGTAATATAATAAAACCGTTAAAATGTAAATTAATAAAAACGATGTGCTCATAAATTGGAAAATATGATTATGGCGCTAATTTTCCTTTAGTTGCGGTTTATGTGCCATCTGACGGTTGTTTCTAACGCCCAATCTACTTCAAAAAAGAATAGTCTTACGGAAAGTAGCGAGGGGTGCTGCCACCTATGAGCCAGGAGAGAGAGGAGAGCGTCAATTGCCACTTTAGTCGAGAGTGTAAACTGTACCGGTTTGTAATTAATTCTGCAATCGGTTTCTTTTCTGATGGTTCGTCTTTTGTCTCAAAAGACATCTGCTTCCTATTTTATGACGTTGGAAGTTCTCTTATAATAAAATTTTTAGAGCTTTAACTTTTATCTAGATTCTAAAAAAACAGAAATCTTTACGATTTTGCTCTGATTATTTTGTCGTTAAATTCAGATTTGTATTTTTATGGTTACGATTATTTTATCTGGAGTATATTTTTTATCGCTTCGACCACTTTCTAAAGTACGATTATTTTTTTAGGCAGTGAGGCTGAGAGTAGTGTTTTTTTCTTAGGTTTTTTTCCTAATTCAATTTGTGTTAAAATGGGTTACTTGTTTTTTTTCTCTCAAATTTAGTTACATAATATTCTTCATCGGAAACTTACTACTTTTTTAAATTTTTTCTAGATTTAGTGCTTCTAATGCCTTCGTAATACTTGTACAGTTATAAAGTATACCCCATATGAATAAAAATAGTACATTATTCGAGTGATACTTAGCTTAGCTTTACAATTTCTTTACCCATTCATATTTACAATGGGGCTGCTATATGTAACTTCCATCGTTCAATATTTCGACAATTTTACCTCTTGGCTAATTTCTTATTATTTTTTTTTAATATTCAGTTTTCAAATTCAAATAAAAAAATATGTAATTCTGAGGCACATCAGTTTTTCCGCTTTTTACAGCCGCATTTATTCGTTCTTTGTACTCGTACATTTTTCGTTGCGATATTACTTTATTAATTCCGTACCAATAAGAAAAGTAATAACGGTATAACACAATTGAAATGCTTTTTAAAATAAAAGTCCTTCGTAATGTTCTCCCGTCGTCTTCAACAAATCCTACCTGAACCTTGTTCCGTCTCTCTGTTCGGCGTTCCCTCAAGTTTTCGTAACGATCCAACTTTCTAAATTTTTATACTTGCATTTATTTAATATTTTATGAAATATGGAAGTCGTACACATAAGGGAAAGTTGTATTTGCCTAAGAAATTTTATCGAGGGGAATCGTTGTGGAGAAAACAAACAAGCCACAAAACGGCAGATTCAACAAACAATATATTTGCAGTATATTTTTATACATGACATGTAACACGAATGATAATTACTTGATGACATTCGACATAAAACTCGTTACAAAATAGGCCTACAAGATTGTCTCTGCCTTTTTTACAATATACATCTAGACAACAAACTAATAAAAAATATAAACATATAAAAACAATTTATTGTACCGTGTAAATGTTTGGTTTCGGCTTAATAACGATAATATCGTTTGAAAAAAAAACGTGTTGCTTAACAAGTAACAGTGCTTGAGCATTCGGAGCTTCGCTGTGGTTACTGTTAGATGCCGAAAAGAGAACTCACATTTGAATACAAAATTGTCTCTTGAGAAATTTGTTTGCGTATCAATTTGGAACGGAAACGCTAACAACTTGCGGGGTTTTTTTCCACAGAAATTACACGTATGAAAGGAGATGATTAAATTTTTTATGAGATCTTGCGGTTTCGATTCCCAACAGTAACTTTCTAGACAAGGAAATGTTTCAAACGGTAGTCTTGAGCAAAAGAAAATCAGAAGGAAGACGCAAAACACATTAACTACTCGAAAACAAAGAGTACATTCAACGTACAATAGCTATATAGGCTCTTATTTACAAAATTAAAATCACATCTTCGTATCACACATTCGTATAACAAACTATATACAGCCAATCAAATCAAACTTTATTGTAATATCACAGAAACTAGTGATTTTTTCGGTTGGGAACGAGCTTTTACGTATTTGTGTCCTTGAGTACGTGGCGAAATCCAAAAGTCTTTACTTATTGCTTTTGTATACGGGGCGTTTGGCCCCGCCTGGAATGGTGCGCTTCTATTGCCTGTAATTTGAACAGTTCGTCGAGTCGTTGCTTCGGATAATAACGGATGACGCGAAACGTTCGGATCTGAATCCGGCGAACGCTGCAGCTTGCCAAAAAAGCAACGGGTCCAGTACGGAACCTTGACGCACAATAGTTCTTGCTTGGAACGAATTAGGTATACGTAGCTTGGATTCTACGTTTATTATTGGTAATTATTATAACAGTGTTCGCTTGGATTCAGGTCCCGTTTGCGCCACAACCCTGTATATGTCAAATTAACGTAACGATTTGATCCGGAACGAGGATAAGGAGAAGAAAAACCGAAAAATCAATTTCCACCCTCCCGGATTAAGTCGGGGTGGTTCGACTGCTGAAATTTGATTATTACTTGTTCGTATGGAGATGAAAGCTGCATTTTAAAGCTTTTTCTATACAACAATAACGTTGCGACTTTTTTCTCTAACAGAAGCTGCTTGTGCCCCGGCTTATTAGAGTTTCTCGTCTTGGTAAGCCGGCGACGAGTCTTGCGGCTAAAGGAACCTTGCCGGGTTTTTCCAGCACGTGAAGCAGCAAGGCATGGCGCATAGTAGAGTGTCTTTGAAAGCTTCTCGGAAGTCCCGGTTAAAGTAGGCGTAAATCAACGGATTCAGGGCCGAATTGAAGTAACCAACCCAGAACAACATGCCGATTAACCAGTCGGGGGTGGGGCAGAGGTCGTCGCCGCAGAGGGTTGTTATCACGTACCTGTTGGACAGAAAAAACAATTGAGAAGAGCTACGACAAAAAGTTAACTTTGCAAACAGGGCCAATACTTGTGGTCAAGCCTTTTTGTTTTTAGTTGCGAGTCACGATATAATGTTTCGAAAGGGCAACCGTGACAAGGTGATTTATTTTTTCATGTGGTTAAAGTAATAAAATTTGGTGTAGCGCGGAGTCTGAAACTGGATTTATGCTACCCGTTTTGTGTTCTAGTAAAAATGTTAAATGCCGCTTGTCATGAATCGCCGATTTCGACTTTTCGTCTATTCGAACGCAAAATGAAAACGCAAACCCCGTCAAATCTAATTATAACCGGGCTGACTTGTTTGCATCTACCAAATTTAATCAAGGATGTGCCAATTAGTGATCGAGCTGTAATATGCACGACTACGAAAAATACATTTACTATTTCCCACGTCGTGCATTTTCTTCTAAGGAAAATTGTGTAGAGATACAGGTAGTTCACATCTGCGCCCAGTTTTTTTCTCGTCGCAAAGTGATTTCTTTATCGATGCTGCGCATTAGCTATTTACTAAATATGAAAATTTGTCCCGCAACCAACCTATACTGAATGAGCAGTTCCACTCCAAATTTAAAAAATATCAACTGTGTCAGACAATATCCGCATTACGCTTATTATTCAGACAAACCGACGCTCCCTCTGCGCGCAGAAACATAAAAATGTTCCTCGAATAGCACACAGATAACTTTTTCGCCTTCAGCTTTTTCGGCAAACTTTACCACCTGCAAACTCAAACTCAAGATAAACCGCCTTCTCTATTAACGGAGGAAAACCCCAAGATTAACTACCGCAGTAAGGAAAGCTACATTAGACAAATTGGCCGTTCCATCGAACGCAGAATTAAACAACACTCCTGACTTACTCCGATATACAAAACACAAACCTCTTCCGTAAAAATATGGCTCTCATTGATCACTCCTGCTCGCAGAAAGAGCGTCATCATCATAATACAATTCGCGTCGTCAAATAAACATTTACGGAATATGTCACAATAACAATGCGAAATGATTTATCAACTGGTGCGAAATTTCCCTGTGTACACTAGGGTAGTTTCATCCCTTTGAATGGTAATCGAATCAGCGTTTATATAACGTATGCAAATTTCTGCAGTGATCGCGCGTTTGCTCAGATAATAGCTAGTGGAAACCTGACAAGTCAGTTCTTTGTTGTGATTACTCCGTGGAGAAAATAGAATTGACAAGAAAATCGAAAGGGGTTTCTGATAAGCCTGCAAAGCCTCCCTGCGAGTGGAAGCACTTTTACCTTTCGAAGTTTGATCGACGGAACTCGCACGAGTAAAATTGACTTTTCGAGTGATTAGCAAAGAGAGAAATTTATTGCAGCAGCACGAAATTTTGCAATAAGAAAAAGTCGACGGATTCGGTAACATTTCAATAAAAGTCTGTTTTCCTTCTTCCCATATTATTTTTTGTTGTAGGTGGAAGACGGGCGCAGATGTCGACTTTATTGAAACAGACTTGTTCGATTGTGTACGTTGCAACCGAGCCAACAATAATTTATTAAAAGCTACAGATTTTTAGGCGAAGACGCTAATGTAAAATCGATCGCGTTGTTTATACATTTTTGTGCGTCAACCCTTTTCGCCTAATAATAATCAAACGTTAATGATGCCTTCAATCTCCTTTAATTCCTTAACGAATTGAGGGGCGGCGTAAATTGGTTTTCACCTAAAATAAATACAGATTTCGGAGCTATGAAATTACGCGGAATGAATTTATTAAAACTGAGCATTAGTCCGACAATTTTCGCACTTTCCCAGGGGGGAGGGGGACTAAATCGTCAATCGCGACGTTGGCAAAATATAGTGTCAGTGCGGGCACAGTAAACATCGAACGATGTTTGACTTTCTACGATCCATACAAAAGTTGTGACTTTATTAATACAACAGCTTCGTGAATGTTATAAAATTAGAAACTGGAAACGCGCTTTGTTTACTCCAACTTTCGACACTGCTGTATTTGTTTTAACTGACCCATTACCAGGAGTTTTGTAAACAGTTCTGTGCATTGTCCATTGAATTCGTTGCATTTCTACACAAAACGTGTACCCAAAGCACCACCAAGCGTAAAATACCGCATGCATTTACAAAATTTAGACTCATTCGCTTAATTAATCGATGGGATATTCTCGGTTGGCATTATTAACCCATGCCTACGCTCGGGGACTTCCAAGTCATTAGGTTGCGATTTTGCGTATAAGCTTTGTTTGGGGGCTCGAAGCTCGTCTCCTATAAATAACATCAACTAGATCGATTTCGATGCAACGGCGTGCATAAGAATTGTTGAGGTAGAGGTAAAAGTTTAATGGGGCTAACTTTCCTAATCTCCCATCTAACAAACTGTGAAGTTCTCAAGGGGTTTCTGGAGCGTACAAATTTGATTTGTGTCCATTTCGCCATTGTCTTTGTGGTAGAGAAAATGTGTAGAAGCAGAAATAAGAAAACTAAGCCGAGAGGATCGACTTGAGACCTTGCTGGCTAATCATCACAAAGAGTTTGTCGGAGAATTGATATCTGGAAATCTCCGACAAATCTTTGTTTGAAAGAGCCATGTTTATTTAACTTATTAGAAAAACTGACAAAAATCACAAAGGAAACGAGATCCTGAGAAGCGGGCGTTTTTCTTGTACTGGGGTGCGTTGAGAAAATCAGAGCAGTAGTGTTTGATTTATGTTTTTTTTTTTGCTTTAATGTAGCATGCCGTTTCTACGTTTGGAAAGACATTGATACTGCTAGATAATAATAGAGCATTTTGCTTAAAACCTTAATCCAAATTCTTACATATCTGAAGCTCTGCCTTAAAACTAACATAAAGCCCGTTAATATCGAGCTGCCGTTGTTGAAGAATCATCGTTTCGCCCGGGTTATTGAAAACGTGTTTCCTGGCAAGATACTTAGTGCATAACATTGTATAATAACGTTTTTACTTAATCGGCGTAAGCTCCGCCAGTCTAGAGGATATTAATTGCAAAAGTGATTAAATCCTTTCAGGTTTTAAACCTAATTCGTTCTACACCATCCAGTTTACGACCGTTTACGTTTTTTGTTTGTTTGTAGTACGTGCTGAAAGGAAATTAGGGTAATTAGATAGTCGGTAAACCATTTATGAAGCGGGGCTTTCCCCCGACTATTTTCCGGCATCCGCCACTTTTTCTATTTTCCGCAACTCATCTAATTTTAGTCTAAGCTTACAACAACAGACATCACGAAGCTCCGCGAAATCTCTCATCGGGCCCTCCATTGTGCACAACCACTCCAACCGAATCTTCTTCCGGCCAAAGCCCTTTGAAATGGTTAGGTATGATACGTCGATTGTGATTTACACAGCGTCGCATCCTCATTGATCAAAGCTCTGGGTAATTAGCTCGTCGGGCTCCCATCAGACTATCTCGTCCTGATTGATGGCCGAGATTTATTTAAGAATATTCGGCGACCTAATACGTCTTTACGTCTCCGGAGGTTATCGGAGCTTTCTGTGTAAGTCGCTCCGGGGAGAAAAAGTGCGAGCTTATATATTTTAAGCTCGAGGGTGTTACGACGAAATTCGAAAAAGCCCTCTTTGTGTACGGCCGCGGTTTTTGCGACCCATAGGTCTTTGTGTGAGAGATATTTTGTGACTACTTACCATAAGAAAAAGGGAAGCCAGCATAACATGAAAGCGCCCATTATTATGCCCAGCGTGCGAGCGGCCTTGTGCTCAGCTCTCCAACTCTTCGACTGTTGCCGGATGGAGGTTCCTGGAACGAAAGAGAAGGATTAAATTTCGCTACAAAATTCAGCGTCAGAATTATCTAGCATGAAAGCTTCGAAATTATAGATTTCTGATATTCATCGCGTCTAATTAACACTGCTTTGGATTCTTCAAACTTTAAAGCAAATTTATACATCAGAATCACTGTTAACGAGCCTGGCGCTTAAAGGAATACAAACTCGTCTGAACTTATTTTAATCGAAATGCTTACAAAACAAGCGCTATCGACGAGTTCGATATCCTGTGTAGGTATATAGGTACTTTTGGCGATATCCTGTTGATTTTTGAAGGTATATAAGGAGAGATGAGAGAAACATAACGACATTTACGCAGATTTTTAGACGGTTATGGTGTAATTGTTACAATTGAGCCCTCCGTCTTCGTTTTTGTAGAACAAGAGCCGCGAAATTTTCCTCCATGCCTTTTTTAAGTCCTGATATTTTGTCAATTACGCCGGCTATATCAATTACTCCCCGAAATGATGCGGACTGTTTTCAAGAGCAAAATTGAGTTTTGGCGAAGTTTTTAACGAGCTCCGGCCGAGCATTCGTATCCATTTTCTGGCCCTGATCGTGTTATACAATTAGAGCTAAAAACAGACGGACCCGAGTTAGTAGATTGATTTGCATTTAGCTACACGTCGGAATAGCTATAATTAAGGGAATTGCAGTGTGCGGATAGTTGTTGCAAGTTGTCGGTTTGTGTTCTAGGTACAGATCACAATGGAATTAAAGGGGTTAATTAACGCGAGCAAGCTAGTTAAGGCCGACATTTCATGTCGGATTTAACACTTCCTGTCTTTGAAGAGCTGCAGGAGGTGGCGTGTCGGTCGTATTTCTTTCGTTATCGGTAAGAAGCGTGAAAGTTCAAGTATGAAGCCAACGAGAGCGAGAAATTATGATGCTTTTTATTCTTTGCCACGTTTTAATTTCGTTAATTATTTTTTACGCTAGAGCGTGGAAGTCTCTCGTGTTGGAGAGATATCGAACTAATTGGAAAACAGCTTGTTGGAGTGATACGTGAGAGGAACTATTCAAGACCCTGCTTAACCCCGCTACGAACTACTTGAGGAGAAATCGATATACGACTAATATGTTAATAATTTAATCAAGGCGAGGATGGGGTTCTATTGATTCAATAAGGGCCAATTTAGGAATGTTGTATTTTATCTTAGCGTCGGGGCGTTATTCAATCAATTGACACTCTGAAACGGATTATAGAGCGACGGTCATCGATAAGGCGATAAATCATCCTTAATTAATACATTCATGTTTCCATATGTCAAGGACGGAAAACATAGATTCTCAAACTAGCTACAGGGCTTCAATATTCATGCATTAAGAAGCTTCACTTCCTTCGATAAAGACCAATTTATTAAGAAAGCTTAAGTCTCTAGTAGGTTTTTTACCACTGACTTATTTTTTGTTGAAGTCAAAAGTTTGATTTTAAACTGTACTATCTCCTGCAAAAAGTTAGTGAAGTTCATCTTTCACTTCGACAAGAGATGCTGTAGATGACGTGAATGAGTAGGCATCTTTTTTTTTTCGTAAAAATGACCACAGCTCTCGTATCTTGAAAATAATGCGGTCCGTTATTGAATTGGAATTTTTGTTTGTTTAGAGGGGTTCAAATTAAATGTCAACATCAGTTATTTTCACTGTTCGTGTTTCTTGTTGATTTTTTGTATTTCACAATTAATTTTGAGATTTGAATTGTTACAGCAATACAAATATCACTGGTACGGCAAGATCAAGATCTCTTCAGATCAAGAATAACTAACACAACTAACATATACTATTGTTAGTTCAAGAACTTGTATATCAAATGTTAGGAAATTTTTTTGCATCTGAACAACGACCTACCACGTGTGATGCGATGTGCTACGCTGCTTTGAAATCATATAAACAAAATCATTTGTTTATTTATTGTGTACAGATGAAGATAAATATGTTTGGAGATTCGGTCGTAAAAAATTCTAGAACGCCCTAGGATAACCTCCTACGATAAACTTGCTACATTTCAAATGGTCCACAAGTCCTGTCTGAAACATCTCCACTTTGAATTAGCTGCGCCAAGCAAATACTTATCTTGTGGTGATAAATTTCCTGTTTCTGAGAGATTTTTATTATGCTCGTGAACTTATATGCCCTATACTTTCCAGAAGAAGTCTTCCTAGACACTTTATTGCGCTTTTTATACTAGTTTTTCTACTTTCAGACACAAGCTCGCTATTTCTACAGGATTATTCTCGTTAACGAGTTTCCATTTCCCCAATCTAAACGCCTGCATAAACCTAAACTCCCTATACGTGTCGACTTAATATTAACGTCTGAAAGGAAGCTAAAACAGTGCGTTAAAAGCCTGGAACGAGCAAACTTAATATTGAATTAAAAGAACAAGAGAGCTCGTTACAGCTGGTATGCATGGCTCGATTAACGTTACCGTCTGCGAATTTTCTATCATTCGCAAGAGGGAAATTATTTAAATGGAAACGGAAGATTTTGGCAACGTGATACATAATGGAGGATTTAATAACTGAGATTCACCCGGAGGTCGTCATCGATTAGTCAGATTCAGCCAAGATCCGGTATGTTCGGTGCACGGCGGCGCTTGACAGTTTGTCACAAAGAAGAATGGTCTTATAAATGCCTCCGGGTGGGACTCGAGACTTATTTATACGCGCTATCAACGTTACGAGATTGATGGAAAGGTTGCAAAAATCGTTATTCGAAATGAAGGGTTGTGTTGTCTGAGCAAATAGGCTCAGGAGAGCTCGAATCAAGCGCCAAATGGCCGGAAGGTTTGTCGGAGGATGCGACTCAAAGGATAGTTGACGCTTTGGAGGGTTAGTTCACTCCGACACCTATAATTAATCATACTTACAATCACAGAACTTCCAGTGAAATAGCCAATTAATTCTCCTAATACCGACTACTATTAATAAGTTCAACTCGATTATTTGATCATTGATTTGGCCTCTACTCTACCGAATTATTAATTTCTCGAGCATCCTTCTGCGTTTTTCCATTTCGACCGAAACACAGTGAAAACTTTCAATTTAAAAATCGCACTTTTGATACATGTAATGTAATGATTCATTCGCTCTTGATTAAAGCATTCCGATTGGTTTGTTCGTTACGCGATACACTTTGACAAACAAATATTTCAAACAGGTGGCCTTTCTGTCTGTCGTTCCGCTAACCTTTGAGGTTTAATCTAACTAAAAGGCGACAAGACGTTATATCACGTACAAAAGTGTGCTTTGTTCCTGCCCAACTTTCATTTTAAATTTCGTTATTACGCGAGTACAAAAGGGAATTTTATTTAGTTCGTTGCCTTCGAGTTTGTATTATCGTAATGTGTTCTTCTTGGAGAGGAAATTGCGAAATTTAAAATTTATCAGAGACGCACATACAATATTCAATTCAATCCGTATCTCTTCGACGTACAGTATCGCAACAATGGAAACTATGAATCGCCACGTTATCAACGAATTTTGTCCAGTTCGGAACTATGGATGTCCACAGGGTCGGATCTAGGGACAGTGCGATTTTTATATTCCGAAGTGGTCTTTACAAAATTTTTGATACATTTCCAGTGTAAGATAGTAGCAGTTGCCAGTTTAAATACGTAAATAAAAGAAACCTTGGTTGTGCTAAAAAATAGAGGGAATAGTGACACAGGGGTGGTAACAGCCATAACTCTTGGGACCCTGTTTTTATGTGCTACCCAATTCGACGTTAAACATTAAATTAATAAGGAAGCTGTTAACTGAGGGATTTTCTAGCAAAAACCATCACCAAAGCATGAAAACTATCGTGCTTTTGTTCTTGGGTTAATTATTTTTAGTGGCATAAAGTTTCCAATATTTGGCTATCGTGTCACTTTGTACGCGGCCCCGCAATTGTTAATCCTTCCCTGGATGTTCAGTTCGATTCAAAATGTTTCTGACATTGCGCACTAATGAGAAGTAAAATCGCAACTTTAATATCACTCTCATAATTCAGGGTGCATTTAAATTGTCTAGTTTAAGATGTGTGTATTCCAGGTGCCATTGTTCCACGGGCCGAAGCGCCGAAGCGTGAATATCCCGAGCCCAAATTCACATTTTCAAGCTTGACAAAGTTTGCTGAAGATGCGGAAAAATTATTCTTCAAGGACGCACATTTCGTGATATATCCGGGCCCATTCGTGTCGATACACCGTCAAGTAATTTCAAGGTTTTTAAAGCGAGCGTTACGTTGAAAGGAAAATAATCCCTATATTTATGTCCGAGAACTTAAATATCGCGAACTGCGACAGCTGCAGAACTCAACAAATATAACGGGATCGATAGATCGATGAAAACGTCGCGACGCCCGACGACGTTTTCTTTCCTTCCTGCAACAAAAAAATTCAGTACCTACTGCGAAAATCCTGTTATTCAGCAGTAGATTTAATATTCACCGAATAACGTAATGGACGGTTTGATGAGGGCGTGGTTACAAGCGGAGGGGAGGAGCTTACTAAAATTTCACCAAGGTATACGGTTAAATAGACTGAACCACGGTGCAGCTTACTTACAATCAATACTACGAACGATTAGAGTGATGAAGGTCTGGTTATACTTTCAGTTTGGCGAAGCGGCAACTTTAGTTCTTAAACGGTCTCATATTTCACAAACGGAGAACTTAAAAGCACGGGTTTAGAATGCATCCAAAACGCAATCGATAGCATTTATTTAACTAAGTTGAGCACGGAAATTCATCGCATCGCCTAAAGGCGTAGTTACGCTTGATGATGGGGAGGAGCTTAGCACCATTTTCCGCCTTTGTTCTCGACGGCTGGGAGGAGCGACGGTTGCGTAGCAGCGCTGCGTTTACAGCATGGCACTAAAGTTAGTATATCAAAATTTTTAGTTTGTGGACGGAATTCTCAATCTTCTCCCCGATGCGACTCGCATTTTCACACTTGAACAACTCCGAACGAGGGAGACATTTTTCGCGA